ATGGCTCGAACAATAGTTGTACCTTGATACACGTAAGGTAGTTAGAGCCTTGCGAGAAGGATATTGGTGACTTTGTTTTCATTATAATCAAGGTTGTAGAACTCATTACTCGGTACCTGTTCGGGCGACTACCGAGTAGCGAGTACTCGGGAGTACCCGGGAGTACTCGGGGAGTACTCAGATTCGGTAATTCATGTAGAAATGTTTTTAGGGAAATTATATATGTCAAAATCATAAGTTAAAATCATAAGTTGATTGAAATATATAACAAAATTACATATATGTGATTACACAAAAACTGAAAAACACATAATGGTCTTACTTCGTGAGTAATTACTGAAAATTTAAGATATATATGTAGTAATAATCACATGTGTGTGTGTTAAATAATAAATCATTAAGTATATTATAGATATTAATCACCGAGTTGATCGATTTTTACAATACTGCCCAATTCAGTAAGGAGTCGATCGGGGAGTACTCGGGATTCTGTAACTTGCCTTGGTAAGGGGCCGAGTAGCGAGTACTCGGAGGAGTAATCGGCCAACTCGACGAGTTTTACAACACTGATTATAATATAGTAGGTTTGAAGATACGCCAACCTTATAATGAGTCTGTCACCAGTAATGGAGTATTGGTTCCAAATTTTTCGAACTAGTAAAAGTATTATAGTAGCTTTGGTTAAACTTCAGGATGTTGGAACACCTGAACTAGGTAGAGAAAACTGCTTAAATCTAGGGTCACGATTGTTTTAAGAGTATAATGTAGAAAGTTGTCCTAGGACACAAAGTAAGAACGATATACCATAAGCCTTTTAGAGGCATGTTCCGGAAAATAGATTCTGTTAGCATGTGGTAGATAAATTTCCATAGTCAATCGCTTTATAGCGAGTTGACAATGTTCCTAGTCAAAGGAACAAATCGAGATTTTACATTTGTAGGCAATTTTCCATTGTAGAGAATAAATTAAGGAAGTACAGAACAAGGATTTCCCAGTTTTGGACGACTTCATGAGAAGTTCAGGAGTACATTTAAGGCAGAAAATGAAGTTCTACGGGGAGTATCAATGCGGCAACATCGACTAGATCACGAGTTGATCTCGATAACCCCAATAACATGACATGTAGGCATTATCTCAAGGTGCTCTAGGAGTAGGATTTCAGGGACGAAATCTTTGTAAGTGGGGGGAGAGTGGTAACACCCCTTTTTTCACTTTACATTAGGATTTAATATAAACGTTTGTTTATAAAATTCGACGTAGAAATATCGTGCTTATTAGCCTTAGTGATCTAAATGAAAGTCGTAGTAATCGTAAAAGCAAGAGTGTGCATATAAAGAATGTCTAAATCTGAATTCGTATGAGGATATTATGATTTTTTAAAACTTCAGTACAGTAGTGTGCAACATAGAAATCAAAGTAAAATCGGTTGAGTGTAAGCTGAAACATTCTAAACGAGAATCGAAGATGTCGTAATTACCAATTTGTCGACATGAAGACAGTCGAGAACGAAGATCATATAAAGGAGTTATGATTTTCACACAGAGTTTAACAGTGTAAGCCTCTATAAAAATATGAGTTAAATACAGACTTAGAATTAGTCGTCAGATTCTAAATGAAAATTGTAGTACTCGTCGATAGCTATGTGTGGATATAAAGAACGTTGAAAATGCAGATCATATGAGAAAGACACAACTTTTAGAAAAAAAAACACAGAAATTCGTATGCATGCGCGCAAGGCGCTGCACACATGTCTTCTAGAAAGGCTATGCAGACCATAAAGAATGTGACACGTGGCATGACGGAAACCTTCCATGCTACCTACCAAACGTGTGACACAACCTATATATAAGTGTGACGCTCCCCCTATAGAACTCTATAAATAGTAGCTTAAACCTCTTCATTCCTCACACCAAAAACTCTCTTACATCTCTCTCCATGTCCAATATTTCTGGGATTTTTCGGGAGTCGAGAAACTCTACTTTAGTGAAGCTCTGGAGCATCAGAGAGCCCGGAGAAATAGAAGCTTTCTAGTCGAAGTCCTGCCTGAGATCTTCCCGGTTTTCGCTAGAGATTCGTGTAAGTTAAACTGCACTTACTACGTTTTAAATGTAACTTATATTTATATTCATAATCGTTATTATGAATGTATAAATAAGGTTTATCAGTCATTCTAGTCATAATACTGAATGATCTACTTAAGGGAATGGTGTCTAGGCTAGATCTAGTGAGGTGTTTAAAGTGGGATTTCTGAATAGTATACTCTGTATACCAAACGGACCCTACCTCCGTTATGATCTTACCTGGTTGTTCCTTATTTGGTATATCTTTCGTTATTCATTGGTATTAGTGAACGATCTAGCATTTATTATAAGTTTTCCATATAGATTAATAAGTTGTAATATTATAGGTTAATACTTGTTAGGCGTGTTGCTCGTTAATTGGATCGCCCAGATAACTGTTAATCGTCGGAGTGTTTGTCCAGGTGAGTTACCTCACTAGACTTTATATTAAAAAATATGTCCATGTATGCTAGGATATAAGAGCTAGTTGAGTAGAGTCGAAAGTATACTCTCTATGTGCTTAAAGTTAGTGTACTTGAAGTATAAAGTATAGTCTTTATGTTCCCGTATGAGTAGAACTGAAATTTCCAAACCACATATTTTGCTCTTGGGAACGTCTTAAATGATAAAGTCATCAACTTGATGCCTTTGCATGGCTCAAAGAGGCCCAAAACTCATTTTTAACAGTCTAACTCCATAATATGAACATCAAATCTTGCATGGTTGAGCTAAATCCATCAAGATGCCATTGTTATGAACAAGGGACCTCAAAAACATCAAGATCTACTATTCTAATATTCTGGAGTAACTTATACTCACATGAATCAACCCAAGGGACCAAAATATACAAAAAACCCTCACTAGCCTAGATATAAACAAGGAATCACCAAGATTGAGACTTTATAGCTTCTTGAAGATGACGAAGGTGAATAGATTCTGGATCCACAAGCTTCAAGCCAACAAATGCTTCTCTAAAGGGTTCTTCTTTCTTCAAGATGCACCAAAAATACACCAAGACACACAAAATGCTCAAAATCTCTATAAAAGGATTAAGGTTTCATGGGAATTGCTTTGGGATGAAGGAGGCTGATGATAAAATAGGGCTTGAGGTTATAAAGTGCTTAAATAGGGTCGAAACCCTAAAATTTAGGGTTTGCCCATGACTCGAGTACGCCCAGCGTACCAGGGGAAAATCTTGTGTCCAAGATTCATCAAGGTACGCCCAGCGTATCTAAATTACGCCCAACATAAAAGGCCACCATGCAAAATAAATAAACACTTATAATTTTAAGAAATTTACCTGGAAACCGGGCGTTACATTTTCATATAACTACATTGTTATATAAGAACTTTGTTGGATTCCAACTCACACCAAAAAGATAAGAAGAGTGCTTCTGATCCGGATTCGATGATCTAGTTTTCCACAATGGCTCAATATAGCAAGCTACTTTGATCACAAATGACATCATCATGATAATGCATCTCGGCTATTAAGTTGTGAACATGCAATATAAGAAAGACTTGAAGATGTCATTGGAGGTGCTTCTTTATCTACTTCTACTCCTTGTGGATTCCTAATCACCATTATAGAAACCAAGAAAGAGTCTTGAGATATAGAAAAGAAAAGCTACCCCTTTTAATATATCATTGAGAGATCTATAGATCAAATCCCGAACTTCAAAGACACTGAGAAGAGGCAACATTAGGAAATAATCTTCAGCCTAACATGTTTTGATTAGGTAGATGCAGTAAGAACCTCTTTATTGATATAAGGCTCAAGAAAATTCCCATATTTGTTAGCAAATAAACTTCTGAGTTCATATAATTCTAGCAAATTAGTAAATCTTGCAACAACAAACATCAAAGTTGAGATATATTCCCTGCATTCCTCTGGGCATTCCCTATAAGGGCAATGAGGAATTTGTTTAATTTCTTTTAAATATTACATAAACCTTTATAAGTAATAAATAAAAAAACAGTTTCTAGTTTACCTTTGTTTATTCATAACTAAGAGATGATTTAGAATGAGCAAGCATGACTGTTTGATAAATTCATAACATGATGACAAATTTTGTTCAACATATAACTACTCAACATGTTTCCATCAAATAAAGTTGTCAATTTATATATCTAAGTTGTCACATGAACCTTAGTCATAAACTGCCTAATCTAGTTCCAAATAGTGCAATGTTCTAAAATTTCTAAAATCAAATAGAAAAATACTCTTCTGATGTGAAATTAATCTATTAAAGTTGTATCAAAAGTCAAACGATGTAATAACAGAAGAAGATTGTATTCAATGGTGTTGATTGTCATAAACTTTAAATTAATACATCAATCCATCATTATTTTCAAACTAAAAAAGAGAAGACACTATCACCAAAGAAACAAGAAAGCTAAAGAAGTAATTACCCTGTCATAGGCATTGGAATCAAGATTGTTCTTAATATGTTCAACAACATCGTTCCTCAGGAACTTCTGCATTGCGCTCCTCTTTCTCTTTATGATCTCGATTCTCCTACTCATCATCTTGATTTTTGACTTGCTAATACGGACAAGGGATTCCCTCTAATCCATTTCATGTCTTATATTGCTGTTAGCATTGGGGTAAGGATTGGTGTCGGCTGGAAAGGGGTTTCAATCAATGGGTCAATATGGTCAAGATGAACTACAAAGGGTAACATTAACATAAAGTACACTTCATTTTAATGTATAGAAATATTTATAGGAAAAAGAAGATAAAGGCAATTTAATTTCACATAGTTTAAGTACATATTCACACGTGCTTCACGTATATCGTGGAACTAAAAATGGGTATCATAGTACTTTTTAACAGTATATACAAAATGATATACTTTTGTTTAATGTACTCAAAATCACGCGATCTTGACAGATTTTCGTACCTAACTATTTCACTTCCTATAAATTGGCACCACACAGGTGATGTTCAAGAGGCATATTTTTACTTGCACACTAAAAAACGTCGAGTTACATGCCGGAAGGAACAATGTTTCCTATTGTTTATGCTCCCTCCTTTTTACTTCTAGTTTTCTTTCTCTTCATATTCTACTACTTTACTCGACCTTCCTCCAAGCTAAACCTACCGCCTTCTCCACCAAAACTGCCGGTGATCGGCAACATCCACCAGTTAGGAGCAGTACTCCACCGCTCCCTCGATTATCTATCCAAACGCTATGGTGGTCCACTGACGCTCATCCATCTCGGCACCATCCCAACCCTGATTGTTTCATCAGCCGAAGCTGCACGTGAGATAATGAAAACCCAAGATCTCACTTTTGCCACCAGACCCGAAGTGCGAAGGTGGCGTCAAGTCATGTACGACCTAAAAGAAGTCTCGGTGGCGCCTTATGGTGAGAACTGGAGACAATACAAGAGCATTATGGTTCTCAATTTTTTGAGCAAGAGCAAGGTGGAAAGTTATCGTGAAGTGAGGGAAGAAGAAATGGCGATTGCTGTTGAGAAAATCAAGAAATCTTGTAAACTGCAGGAGGCGGTGGATTTGAGCGATTTGTTCTTAACACTTACGAATGATGTGGTGTGTAGAGTCACGTTTGGAAAGAAGTACAGCGAAGGGGAGAGTGGAAGGAAGTTCAAGAAAATGTTGAAAGAATTTTGGGATGTTTTAAGTGAGCTTAATTTTGAGGATATTATTCCTTATCTTGGGTTTATTGATCAACTGAGAGGGGTTTCCGGTAGAGTTGTGAAAGTCGTTAAAGCTCTTGATGAGTTCTTGGATGGTCTGGTGGAGGAGCGTCTGAGGAAACACGCCGCTGGTGGTGGTGGTGATGCTGATGGCAGAGAAGATTTCCTTGAAATATTGCTTAAGATCCAAAAGGAAAATACGAATAGTGTTCTCGACAGAGACTCCATCAAAGGACTCCTCTTGGTAGAGAAGACTCTCTCTCTCTCTCTCTCTCTCTCTCTCTCTCTCTCTCTCTCTCTCTCTCTCTCTCTCTCTCTCTCTCTCTCTCTCTCTCTCTCACTCTCTCTCACACACACACACACACACACACACACACACACACACACACACACACACACACACACACACACACACACCACACACACACACACACACGTCTCTATCAATCTTTATCTCAATCTTTTTCCATACATAAAGATTATTATTATTTGTTATATTATGACTTTGATTAATATCTTCCTATCATTCAAAAGTATATTTTAGATGGTCTAGATGGACCATTTATGTTGACATATTTGCATTTGAGACTAATGCAGTGTATTTTGCACTACACCATATATAGAGGTTTATGGCTTTGGTGCATGAGATTTAATTGGACGTGGTACAAGTCCAATAGTACTAAATCACTAAACTTGTCTCACCTAAAACTGTAGTAGACATTGGGACATCTCTTATTAATATAAAATAATAATAATTCCACTATCATCAGTTCGATATTTATGTGAAAAATAATATTTTTGGCTTAATAAACGTGTTCTTGGTTTTATGACATAGTACTTTTAAATTAAATTAAACGATTTTTTATTCAGCATGTGATAGATTAAAGTGTTATATATCTTAAACAATAAAAATTATAAAGATAGTTTTTTTGTATAATTAAGCTTCAAAAATAAAAAACCTATGATTTAAATCGAACTCGAATATAGAATGGGTGACTAAAAATTAATTTACCCATTTTATATTTAAATTTTGGTATAAAACAAATGTTTTTAACTTTTGAACGCTGGTTATAGAAACTATCACTAGTTTTTTATTGTTTAAAATAAATAATTACAAGAGATTTTTTTTAAGAAATATTTAGTTTTTACTTTAATCTTTGAACTACCGAGTATAAAATCCTTTAATATAAAAGTTGTCATTGTCATAAAAAAGAGATAAAGATGTTTATAAAAGCCTTATAAAATATAAATTTAAATCCCACTAGAAGTCTTAAAATTATTAAAAAAATGCTATAATTTAAAAGTTATATATTGCCTTACACAATTCAAATTTGTTTGTGTTTATATATATATTTTTATATTTCTTATATTTTATACAATTAAACTTTTTTAGTTTATAAATCCGAAGATTTACAAAACACTTGTATAGTAAAATAAATATTATTTTATAAATGATAATAAATAACGTTAAATTTTCTTTGATTTTAATGTCAAAATACCAGATTGTATCTTTTGCATATGAGATGCCACATCGAGACACGTAACTTAACTCATATATATATATATATATATATATATATATATATATATATATATTATATATATATATATATATATATATATATATATTGTGAATTTAATGAATATTATACGTCTAATTTTTTTATTAATGGTTACAGGTTTTATGTTCTAAGCAATTAATCTTTATTATTGTAGGATGTATATACTGCTGGCACAGACACAACAGCAACAGTGTTGGAATGGGCATTTGCTGAACTTCTAAAACAACCGAAGCTTTTCAAGAAACTTCAAGATGAAGTGAGGATGGTTCTCGAGGACAAGGAACAAATAAGCCAACAAGATATCGACAACATGACATATTTGAAAGCTGTGATCAAAGAAACTCTACGTCTTCATCCCCCGGCTCCAACCCTAATTCCCAGAGCCTCCAGCCAAGATACAAAAGTCATGGGCTACGACATCAAGAAAGGAACTAGAGTTATCATTAATGGATGGGCTATTCAAAGAGACCCTAAAGTATGGGATGAAGCCGATGAGTTTAAACCTGAAAGGTTCTTGAACAGTACAATTGATTATAAAGGACATGACTTTGATCTAATTCCCTTTGGTGCTGGAAGAAGAGGGTGTCCGGGGTTAGCGTTTGCAATAGCTATAGATGAACATGTGTTAGCTAATCTTTTGCACAAGTTCGATTGGGAGTTGCCAAATGGAGAGAAGGCAGCGGATCTAGATATGGAGGAACAACCTGGTATTACGGTTCACAAAAAAGTTCCTCTTATGGTCATGGCAAAACCGATCTCTTCCTAATTAAGTTATAGTATGTCATTCAAATAACGGGGTTGAATAATATAGTAGTAGTAGTTGAGCATTTCAATTTCTCATATGGGCTTGCAGCAATCACAGTTTAGATCGATAGGATCGGCTGATGTGGACTTTGTTTTTATTACATGATGTGGACAAAGAAAGTTATTATTACTATATTATTAACCCACTCCACTACGTGTTCCCTTAAACTAATCGCATGGTATACATGAGCTGAGCTTTCATGGATAAAAAAAACAAATAGAAAAATAAGGTGACACTTGGACACAATTATTGAACCCAAACTTTTTGTTTTGTAAAATCAATATTATCCTTTACTGGTTAATATTTTATTATTTTGTGGGTATTAACTAAAATATGATTATATGTGAAAGTTCTTATTACCACATGCCTTTTTATTGCGGTCCACGTTTGCAGTAAATATAAAGGAAGTGATCCGTACAAGCACTAAATAAAATTTAGATCAAAGGGAGCTTGTGGTTAAAAAATAGAGAAAATTTGCGAAATGACAAAAAAGTAGAGGTTGTTTGAAGAAAATGTCTAAGAATTAGGAGTGTTTGAAAAATTATCACGTTTAGCTCTGAGAAACATAGAAACTCTATGAGGAAATGACGTGGCGGGTAAAAAGACAAAAAAAAAAATTATAAAACTTTAATTCTGCATAGGATGCATCGTTCCACAGAGATGTCCTCTATGGATTTGTTCTTCAGATGTACTCTTCTGAGGAATTGTTCTTCACTAAAACATGGTCTATGTTGACTAAATCGTCGAAGAAAGAGACCTAGAAACATGGTTTTATAGTTTAAATTGTTATTTTGAATAATTGATATGTGCTAAATGTTGATACCTCGTTAGATTTAAAAGAAACAAATATCAAAATCGTTAGTTTTTCCCTGCCACGTTATTTTCTTAGAGAGTTTTCTTGTTTATCAGAGATAAAGGACTTCCGCAGAGGCCCTCTTTGTGGAAGTCGTGGTTATTTTTCGAAAACTTGTAATTCTTGGTCATTTTCTTCAAACAGCCCATCATTTTTTGTTATTTCACAAATTTAACTCCAATAGGAAAAAAGGAAATTGTTACTAAAAACAATTTGTAATAAATCAGTGGAAAATTCTTAAACCTTATTGAAAAAATGTATTTTTAATATTTTGTGAAAAGGTAATTACATCTAGTTTTGGGTTTAAATTCTAAAGTTGTATTATATTAAGGTTTTCTAATGTTGTGTTTCTTTTCTATTATAGAGATAATCGTATTGTTAATATTTCAAGTTGGCGATCAAATTATGTGTATATACCCGTCCCATCATACAAGTTGTTTTGAATGTTTGGGCACGATAAGGAAGCCGAACAATAGAGTTATCTTACACTTCCAATCCATAAGAGTTTAGATAAGTTAAATTGATGAACTCAAATGAATTAAATAAAATAAAAGTCTTTACAAATCTAAAAAGTTCAACAAGGCCGTGATCACATGGGGTTATTTAGCCGGACATATTGAGCTCAAACATTAAAAACATCATTGATGAATAATTAATTTGAAGAAATCTTGAGTATTGCTTGATCTATATGAACTTGATCGCTGACGACATTTACTCCTCCTAACGAAATGTCGTCGGCTAAGCTTATACCGACGACAAGTCGTCGGTGCAGCCTCGTCGGTGGAAGTGGAAAAAAATGGTCGGGATAGAAGTCGTCGAGATAGTGCCCCCCAATACCGACGACAAGTCGTCGACAAAGGGTTGTCGGATCTGATTTTCGAGGGAAAAAAGTCTTATTATTTACTTTTACAGACAACTTGTCGTTGGCATAGAGACAATTTATACCGACGACATATCGTCGGGACACATTGACCTATTGCGATGACATGTCGTCGAGAAAAGTGGGTAACAATTTTTTCCATTTGACGACTTGTCGTCGATATAGGTCAAAAGCGTTTTTAAACTTACGAAGACATGTCGTCGATATAGCCTATTTATTATTATTATTATTATTATTATTATTTTTAATATTTTTCACATATTCTGTTATATATACTAAACTTTTTTTAAAACAAATCCAGACTGCGGCATAATGTCAAACACTAAATAAGCATATCAAACCATCATAATTCAAATTCAAGACTCAAAAGTCTACTACATACCAAAATAACAAAAAAAAAGTATTCACCAAACATTGTTCAAAATAACATAAAAGATCAATCACCCCAATCTTCATCTGTTACTTCGGTCTCGTTGGTTGGTTCGGGGATATTTTGTGTAAATATATTGGGATTGAATTGAAATTGTGGTATTGATAGAGGTTGGAAGTTATGAATTACGGCCGCCAATGAGTTATTATATATTTGTTTCATTTATTGCATGTACTGTTGCATTTGTTGGGTTAATGTAACAATTTGGCTATTATCCGTATTTGTGAGATTTGGATTTGGAAGGATGTTGATTTGGAATTAAATGATTGTTGGTTCTTGGTTTTCTTCCAACTCCGCGAGTAATTTCGCGTCTCTCACTGAGGGCACGAGTAAGACAATGAGACTCATTTACATGTTCGCTCTCCCGGAGCTCTTTTTGCATCTCCGTATACTGCGCTTGAATCTTTTCCTAAAATAAAGAAAACAATAAACATACATTAATTAAAACAAATAACTAAATTTAAACACTAAAATAATAATAATATACCTTAAAAAACTATAATAATAATAATAATAATAATAATAATAATAATAACAACATATTAACTTCGTTTACTACTTTTTTTTTACTCCTAAACTAACACATAATTCCACCTATGTCCACCTTCGTTTACTACTTACACAATCTTCTTCTGCTCGCGGTGTACACCAACCCCGACTTTCCTTGAAGCATATATGTCTCCAACCCTCAATATGTCGCGGGCTTAGTCCTTTTTCAACCTATAATAAACCAAAAACACTTAATATATTTATATAACTGTTAATAATTTTTTTGTATAATACAAATAAATTTTATTACCCCTGTATGATGTCTGTTAGCATATAACCTACTACCATGAACACTTGTATTTGGAAGTTTGGCCCTACATTCTCTATCTTTTGCCGACTGATTCATATAACACTCGTTCAAAAAGAGTTCATCAATCAACTCATTCCAAGCTTTATCGTCTATATCTTTCAGTGGATTTTTTTCTTATAGTTTCTACATCCTCATATTCGTCAACTTCGTCAAGATGAAATTTCGGTTCATGTTTGTGTTCTTTATATGCTCTTTGGCAATCGACATTTACAGCCGATTGAACGTCTTTAAAATATGTTTGCAATAAAAAATCAAATTTAATTAGTAAAAGAAATATTTAAAAAGTCTAAAAAAATTTACATATAAAAAATATTGTCTACTTACTTCTAACTCAGGATACATAGATTTTGTTTATTCGAGTAGTACATTTGATGCCAACAAATTTGAGATGAACCCCGTTAACATTTTGACATTTTCCCTAGGAATCGATAGGTCTCCCTTTCGCTATCAATTTGCACGGGTAAAGGATTCTCACTGTTGGCCCTATATGCTGCATACATACTAAAACTTCTTCCTTTTCCACACATTTTTTTTGGGTTTCCTACATTGACATATAGAATTAGAAATTTAGAACTTTAAAAATTATCCATTCAAACGGATCGACCTCCCTTTGTATCGCCGACTTGTCATCGGGATAGAGGTCACAAAAAATGACTTCGTTTCAGTTTTATCTGCAACATTACAATTAAACATAGAAATTGTTTTTATAAAATCTATAGGTACGACTTGTAGTCGGTATATATGTAATAACAAAATGTTTGATGACACACCCTCATTCACGTCATTATAAACAAACCGAGTTCAACACAATAACATAAGGCCCCGTGGTAGGGCATATTCTCTCCGTGGAGGAGAAATAGTTATCACCCTTCTCATTGATTGTGCTCATTCCACACATCTAACAAACTATACAAAAGAAGATGTGCCATCAAATAAAAAATATTCCTTCGCCTAACGTCAGCATGGGGAAAAGAGAAACAACATTATTAACCTATAATAGGCGAATTAATAATACGGAAAGAAAGTAATAATTCTCTCTTACATAATACAAACACAAAACCTTACTATCTTACCAAAGTAGCTTGCATGTTTTCATGTGCTCCTGGGACCTCTTCTTAAAAGTGCGGTTGAGGTTCTTTCTTCTCATTACGATGTCAGGACTCTATCTGAGTGGTTATCTTTATTCGTGTGACAACCCGAAATTTTTACAAGAATAAAATTTCTCTTTGGTCAAACTTATTCCTTCCATGATTCTTAAAATTTGATGGGTTATAAGTGTTGAAGCCTAGTAACTAAGTGTGTTATAGTTTGGAAGAGAAAAGCAAAAGGAATTGAAAAGCTTCGCATGGCCGCAAACAACTTCGGACCGTGAACCCTCGGTTCACGGCCGTGAACGAGGCTTCGGCCGTGAACGAGGCTTCAGCCGTGAACCAATTGCCGACTTCGGACCGTGAACCTCTCGACAATGAACCCTTGCATATATATTTGAGTGTTAACCATTTTCACCACATTTTCGCATCTTCCAGCCGTGATCCTCTCAAACCTCTCTCAAGTATCATCTTCCAAACCTTTTCTTAGATTATTGTTTGGATCTTCAAGGTATTCTTCATTTCCTTCAAGAACACACACAAATCTCCAGCCTAAAACACTTGAATCTTCATCATCCTTCAAGAACAACTGGCCGTGAACTCAAGAACACAAGCTGTTCTTGGGCCGTGAACACCTCCAAGTGGCCGTGAACACCTCCAGGTGGCTGTGAACTCCATTTCAGCATCCTAAACGTGCTTCTAACACTCTTTTGGACTCGTTTGTGCTTCGGGATTTCACTCGGGAAATTTACCAATCTATACCAAATCTTCTATTTGAATCCCTCAAATAAGGTGAGTTCATACCCCCATATTTTCCAAGCTTTTTAATGTTTTAAGAGGGGGGGGGGGGAATACAAGTAAAACACAAGATTGCTTGTGTTTAAAAACATAATTTACTTATTATGTTTTCTTACTGTTTAAATGTATTTGAACTTGAAACTTGATAAAATCATAGAAATCAACTTATAAACTATAATAGGTATGGTTTATGGATCATAGGAAC